TCTATAGGCCTACTCCGCATGATTATCAACCCTTTAAAGTAACTTTAATTCAACCTTTCATAAACTTGAAGTTGAGATCATGATGAGTGCTAAAAAAGCCAAAAGGAAAATATAATTTGTTTGAATTCACAAGCTTAACTGCTTCTTTTTGATGATAATGACAAAATGATAAATATTATTTAGGAGGAGCTGATACTTCTAGTATCCCATTTCAGTTAAATCTTTGTATTCATAAAAACATGTTCAGTTCTAACTTATAAAAACCCTGTTAGGTATAATCACAATATCAAAAGATTTCTTTTTTTTTACAAATTTATATGGTTTTTAGGGCATTCTTGCATAATCCAGTCTTACAATTATAATGTCTCATTTTTCTACTTTCAATCCTTGATGTTACAATTCTATTCCTTGTTTTTCATATAAGACATGAAATCTAAGAACAACATTAAGGGAATCGGCTGTCAGTTTAGTGCATCAAAGTTTAAAAACTTGATAAATTAGGTTTGAAATTAACCTCTCTTAGGGATCAATGATTTTGATGGTGTCTATCTGTGATATCTTCAATAAAACATCAGACAAATATACTGTTTATGAAAATAATGATATCAAATAGAATGCGATTTCAAGTGATTTTGTAAACAGGGAATTCGTTTTAAGATTTGTCTGTGTAACATTTGGTGGTAAAAACACACTTTCATTTTTAAAAATGAGAAATATGTAAATAAATAAATCTGATTATCAAATGTACTTAATGCAGGACTAAGCCCTTTCTTGCTAATTCAAATCTTTTCTCAAACTATTTCTGACCAATGAAAACTATTCTTTGCTTAATTCAACATATTTCTTGCAAATTCAAATTTTGTCTTGCTAAATCAACCTACATGTATTTCTTGCTAATTCAAACCACTTCTTGCTTATCCAAACTACTACTTACTAATTCAACCCATTTCTTGCTAAATCAACATATTTCTTGCAAATTCAAATTTTGTCTTGCTAAATCAACCTACATGTATTTCTTGCTAATTCAAACCACTTCTTGCTTATCCAAACCACTACTTACTAATTCAACCCATTTCTTGCTAAATCAACATATTTCTTGCAAATTCAAATTTTGTCTTGCTAAATCATCAACCCATTTCTTGCTAGATCAACCTATTTCTTGCAAATTCAAACCACTTCTTGCTTATCCAAAACACTACTTACTAATTCAACCCATTTCTTGCTAGATCAACCTATTTCTTGCAAATTCAACCTTTGTCTTGCTAAATCAACCTATTTCTTGCTAATTCAAACCACTTCTTGCTTATCCAAACCACTACTTACTAATTCAACCCATTTCTTGCTAAATCAACCTATTTCTTGCTAATACAAACCACTTCTTGCTTATTCAAACCACTACTTTCAATTTCAACCCACGTTTTGCTAATTCAACTCATTTCTTTGTACTTAACCCATTTACCATTTCTTGTAGATTCTGCATAGACGAGACGATGCAATAATGATGAATCAAATATCATCAAAGAAATCATTGTGATTAAGCAACATGTCATAGCACAGCGGTCTTATCCAGCATTACTTATTCATTGAATATAAAAGCAATCAGTCTTTGTAACCTTCAGATTTTACTATTGTATAACTAATAAACATCATTGAAAAGAACAACATTGTCTATAATTACACAATAAACTATAATCTGTATGCAATTTATGCAAACAGAGATTTCAAGAACTGAACGAGAAATGTGACATGTGCACCTTCAGCAATCCAAAATATTATAGTTTGTCTGTAAGTTATTAAGAATATTATGTTTGCATTACATTTATTTATGAACAGTAAATGTGACATGGTTAACACTAGAAGTAATTAATGGGTTATTGAACAAAAGGGTTCTGTTGATGCTAAGTTCTCTCTAATTTGTCATATGCTATTTCATTATGGGATCCTACAAGTAAACACTGATAAAAAAACATGGCTATTAATTCCATATTGCTCTGAAAATGCAAGAACTAAATATGAACTGCAAAAAAACAAACTAAAAACCGTGATTAAAATACACATGCATGTTCTAAATATGGATGTAAAAAATCCCCGAAACAATCTACTATTGAATATACATCACCCAAGATCAATACAAAAATATTATGAAAAACTACAATACAATGAATGATTAATCAAAATGCTTTTAGAAATATAAAAGTCACTTACATGAATTGAGATCTATGCGATATTGACTTGTAGAATGCTGACTGTGTATGCGGCCAATGCTCTTTACAGTACTTTACAGGTATTGAACTAGCAACTACCTGCTGAACGCCCTTACATCAACGAGCAACTTATATTTTTATATGATTTTATAGAATAACAACCGGAAATTACAAACATTGGATTAAATATATAGAAATTGTAGATTTAATTAAATCAGAATTATTTCATTGATTTTCAAATTTTTTCATAAAATGAACATATGAAATGAAATATTGTGGTAAGATACTAATCTGTTCAAACCTGACAATTGTTGATTTATAACCATTACTTCTATTGAACACTGGGACTTGATGATACTCAACTTTCAAAAGGTCCTTTAACCTGCAAATATGGAACATTGGATGCTTGAAACAAAGGAGGTGTCAACTCAGAAGTCTCATGTTAATGCATGACCAATCATAAGAGCTAGATGTTGTAAAATGAACTTAGATGTAAAGAGGATTATGGCAGAGATATAGGATTCTTCAGTAGATGTGAATAACCTTATAACCTTTTTTTATTTTTTATTTTTTATTTTTTTTTTTATTTATTTTTTTTTTTATTTTTATTTTTTTTTTTGCTTCCGGTTTCAATGGCGTCGGACGTGAAATCAACAGCTCCGCTTAGCGGGGAGGATTTAGCCAATATTGAGCAAACGCTTCAGCTGCTGACTGAAGGCCCGAGAGCGGACGTGATAGAAGAGTTAGATCGAGAGCTTGAGGAAGATGAGTGCGATGTTCTCAGGGATTATCTGTTCCAAAAGGGGAAGGTAAAAGTATCTGAGTTATGTGATAATCTCTATGGCGTACTTGCTGATCGAGAGGAAGATCAGGTTCCTATAAACTTACAACCAAAGCTGCGAAAAGGAAAAAATAGAAAGGTCACGCTTTTGAATGATATTTCGGATCTATATCTGTTCATAACGGATAACAAAAGCTTCCCCAGATCTATACTCAGTACAAACAGTTTCCTTCCCGATGTCATCGGCAATAAGGAATTGCGTCAAAATGCGTATCGCAACGAGCGTAATGCAACAGTGGATATAAACATAACAATGCTAACCCAGCGAATTGTGGAACTTGAAGCAGATAGAGATAGCCATAAAAAGGAGATAAAGGACTTGAAAGATGAGGTAGGAACGCTATTTTCGAAACTTTCTAAACTTCAGGTCGATGTGACCAATTTCGTCAAAACATGTACTTGTACATGTAAACAATCCGAGGTGCCAGTAACTGGTACTCTGCCAAAACCCCTGATCCAAGCCAATTCCAAGCCACAAACAATCCCAATTAGTAAGGCGACTACTCTTGAGGAAATAGTGAGTGAACAACAACAAATGCTCGAGTTTGCCAAACAACGCGTTAATGAAGTCAATAATGCCAAAGTCTCCAAGTCCAGGACTGTTAATCCCGAAACAAGCGACTCGTTTTTGTCGCTTAATGAAACTGTTATCAATACATGTGTAACGGGTGCCAGCACGCCTAATAAACCCGCATCATCTGTTAAAGCAAAAGACCATGGTTATTCTAAGACTGATCATCCGACCCCAGCAATAGCGCCCGATCCACATAATACATATATTATTACCGATTCAACGCCCATCGAAGTCCCAGGGACCAACAAGATCTCTTCCCAGTCCAAGACAATCAAAGAAACCCCTTCAACGTTCAGTGAAGTGTTAACTTCGCCATCTAATGTATCGGACAATGCCAGTCATTTACCAGGGAAAGAATGGATGGTTTGGGCAAGCAATCAAACGTATAAAAAACAGAAAATTGCCGCAAAATCTGCTCACGTCTCACCACCTACTCAACCAGCCCCACAATCACAAAACGCAAGAGCTCTACGAGGTGCACCTGTAGACAACAATGTCTACTCCAAGAGAACTATAAAAGGAAAACAGTTTGAACGCTATAAATATCTCTATTTGGAAAATGTTTTTCAAGATGAACACGACACTGATGATGACATCTGTGATGATGTCATAAAATTTGGCTATGAACACGGTGTTAAAATAATGTACTGTCACGTGGTCCACAATAGAATGTCGTATACCCATGTGGGATGTAAAATTGCTGTAGTGGAGTCCAACTTTCAACAGACTATGATTATTGATTGGCCGGATCCTATTGTCTGTAGGGAATGGCAAAACTGGAATGAATATCGAAGGATTAGAGGTGGAACTCTTAATGCCTATGATCAATAAGTCAATAAACGCTAAATATCAAAAAATCACAATGAAACACCTGATCATTCTATACTGTATATTAATAATGGTAATTTTTACTCAATGGAATGCAAATGGTATACACTCATCAGAGATTTATTTGCGTGAATTGCTAAAAAGAAGTCATATTGTCGCAGTGTCAGAACATCGTTTATATGAATGTAATCTAAACAAGCTTAATGATATTGATCGTGATTTTGAGTGCTTAGCATATAGTAGCTCATTACTTAACCCTATGAATTGTGGAATTAGGGAATAGCCCTTTTTTGGCGTAAAACGTTTAAAAATGCCATATCGCCAGTGCGAGAATTCTGCACGGATAGAATTGCATGCATAAAAATTGAAGGTGATACGCCTCTGTATGTCTTTTCGGTATATCTGCCTCAGGCATCGTGCAAAAATGAGAGCTTTGAGGATGTTGTTATTTATTTAGAAAACTGTATATATAAATGTGTAGCTACGGGTTATGTAATTTTACTTGGTGATATAAATGCAAATTTTGGTAACTTATTTCAAACCAAAAGAGCGCACGGTACATGCACTGTAAATGGTAAAATGATGTATAATTGTATGTTGCGTAATGGGTTAACATCTCTTGATTTGCAAAGTCGAACAAGCGGCCCTTGCTATACATATGAATCAGGTACTGGGTACAAATCATATATAGATCATATACTGGTGTCCGAAGAACTACTACCTGCGTGTTTAAGCTGTAAAGTACTGGCAGATAGTTTTACAATTGGATGTGGTCATCTTGCTATAGAATCTGAAATTGATCTGCCATCTATTTTAATGCAAAAAAGTTCTCCTTGTGCGTCAATCAAGCCAAGTTTTGCATGGCATAAATTAACAGATCAATTAAAGGGTGATTACACAAATGATGTTGATACTCAGGTAAAGAGATTAATTAGCGATATTTCCAAGCTTAATGTTATCGATATGGCAGTAATTGATGCCTACTTTTCCAGGTTAGAAAATCTCTTATTAGAGAAGTCAAACTTATACGTGCCAATTAAGCAATTTTGCAAGCACCAGAAACCCTTCTGGAATGTGGAGCTTACTGAACTTGTGCGTAAAAGGAAGCTTGCTTGGCGCGAATGGGTTCGGGCTGGTAGGCCCAGAGATTGCTCAAATGTTTTTAGACGTGCTTTTAAAAATGCGAAACGTGCCTTTTCAAAATTGTATAATCTAATGAAAAATGAGTATGAACTGGCACAGCTCGACAACTTGTACTATGCTGATGATTTAGATCAGAATATGTTCTGGCACCTTGTAAACAAAAGTAGATTATATGTTAAAAAATCGGGTAAATCAATCAGAAATGATAATGGTCAAGTAATTACGGATCCAGTGGAAGTATGTCAAGAATGGAAACTGTATTTTAGTCGATTAGCTTCTTACGACAAAAGAGACATCTTTAATTCAGACTTTGAACAATATGTAAATGATGATATTTCAAGGATGGAATTGAATTGTATGAATAATTTTGATGGCATTTTTGACAATGGTTTATCCGAATGTGATGTTAAGAAGTCAATAGGAAAACTAAATATGAAAAAAGCAGCTGGCCACGACAGTATCAATTCTGAACATGTAAAATACGCTGGTGAAAATATTGTGTCTTTGCTCACCATTTTATTTAATGCAATGATCGCAAATGTATATATACCTGAGAACTTCTGCTTAGGGATCTTACTGCCATTGCTCAAATCTGGTAACAAAGATTCTCTTGATAAGGATCACCATCGTGGGATAACTCTTATGACATTTTTTCGTAAGATTTTTGATAATATTGTTCTTTGGAAAATTACTGGTGTACTGCAAGGTCGCATACCGCAATTACAAGGTGCGTCTATTAAAGGTTGCTCATCCTTGCAAACATCTCTAATAGTGCAAGAAGCCATATCTCATCAAGAAAATGGCACAATTATGGCTCTAATGGACATTAAAAAGGCCTTTGACAGTACATGGATACGAGGCCTGTTCCATAAGTTATATAATTGTGGTATAAATGGTTTATGTTGGAGGCTCTTGTATCAATCATATAACAAGTATAAATGTAAGGTTTTTGTAGATGGTATTTTATCGGATACTTTTCCTGTTAATAGAGGTGTTCACCAGGGCGGGATATGTTCTATGTTTCTCTACCAGTTCTTTATAGCAGACCTTTTGCAACAATTGGTAGATTCGGCAAAAGGAGTAAGAATTGGTGAAACGTCTGTAGCATGTCCAGCATACGCTGATGATATTGCCTTAATTGCAAACAATCCAGAAAATCTAAATGCTCTGTTGAGCATTGCTGACATGTATAGTAAAAGGTGGAGGTTTGAGTTTCATCCAGGAAAATGTGTAGTGCTTAGATTTGGTACAAACAAAAATGCTTTTTGTGAATGCAAATTAGGAGAGAATATTCTAAAAGTAGAAAAATCTGCTACACATGTTGGCATACCTTTAGGCAAAAGCTCAGAGCATGTATCAAATTTGATTTCACGCAGTAAAAGAAAATTCTTTTCTCTGCTTGGTTTAGGAGCAAATGTAGGAGGCTTAAATCCTCTGCTAGCTTCTAAGTTATACTGGAGTTTTTGCTTCCCAACAATGACGTATGGCAGCTCTGTAACGCAATATTCAATAACCGAAATTGAGTCTATGGAGGATGCACATAGATCCATTGGCAAGAGAATACAAAGCTTCCCAGTAAATACCCCTGACCCGATGGCGATAAAACCACTCGGATGGCTTTCAGTTCAAGCGCGAATCGATGTAGATCGCCTTATGTTCATCTGGTTCGTCTTATCGTTACCGGTACAATGTATTTATAAAATTGTATGCATTTATCGACTGTTGAGTATAATCCACATTGGAACCTATCGCTCAAGTAAATCTCCATTGGTCTCAATGTGGGAAACAACAATGAAATACGACCTACATGGGGACGTTTTGAATATGATAACTACTGCTAAGACACCACTCAAATGTGTCTGGAAGAGAAAAGTCATGAACGTTGTCAAGTCTTTTGAGATGAGACGCTTTTTCGTTCTTAGCTCCTTATATCCAACACTGAGACCAATTTTGAGATGTTTCACTGTTTTAAAACCATTTTTATGGTGGGAAGTTGCCAGGCGTTTTCCAAGACGCTTACCACAATGTAAAGTTATAATGAAAATGATATCAGGAACATACAGGATATTTAATTACGGACAACCAATGTCTGAACGAGTATGCTTACTATGCAATTTAAATGTCACTGAAGACGTACAGCATTTTTTACTATTGTGCCCAGCGTATATAGATATAAGATACAATCTATTTAGTGAATTATATAAACTAGGAGTCAACAACTTTTGTGAATTCATATGTTTCATTTTCGGTGGAGGGAGCGAATATGATCCTGAAATAATGCTTCCATTGCTGGACACGATATATGAAATGCACAAAAGAAGGGATTACCTTCTTAAATCCTTGTAAATAATAGCATGCTCTGACATATGAGCATATTAATTTTGCTCATCTAACATACATATAATTTGTAGTATTTTTCGTATATTTATTTTTGTAACATATTTATGTATATGTACTCATCTTGTAGATGGTAAATAAAATAACATAACATAACATAACATAAGGGTTTATTTAACTATAAATCCTAGATTTTCAAGGACACATGTAGTTCAATTATCATATTGTCGTCAAAATTAAATGTCAAACTTAACATTCCATTCTTTAGTGACCTTGAACTTTTGATGCAGCCTTGACTTCTTGCTATAACCCTTACCGTTTGATGTCACCTTGACCTCTGGTCATTTAAAGGTCTTAAACATGGAACCAGATGTAACTTTTTAGTCCTTCCCTGAATTATATTTATACTGTCAGAGCATACACCTACAATCTAATGTGGAACTTTTAATTGTTTCACAAATTTGAAACGCAAAATTTTAGCTTTGATAGGCTTCTGAGCAAGGAAGTACAATAACGCAAATGCGAGTAGGTAGTTACCAGTTTCACCACCAGGTGGCTCGCTCGGGTCAGATAGCATGGCGGGTATAGTAGAAAGTTCCCTTTAATTTAAATTACATCTGTTTTAGTGGTTCAATTTTCATATAGCCCTTATGTATCGAATAGTTATGCAAATTAAAGTATGTCCAGTAAAAGAAAATGTTATATGTCCAATACAAGGAAAGATATTTCACTTTTTGTGATTTTTTGATATGGAGTCTATGGGAAATCAACCCGAACTAGAAGTCACATTTTCAAAAAGATTACATTTTCAAAGTTGATAAACAATTTTCGAAACCATATTTTTAGAAGTATTTTTACATGTAGATTTCAAAAATGACATCACTTTGACTGAATTTTGAATATTTAATGACGTAAATCAAGATCATTTCTACTCGCATCTAGTCTATTAAAACCCTTTCAGGACGATATGCTCCTTTTGGCACCATTATTTTTATTTATATACATTACATCAATGAAATGACATTATCTCCAGTTCTATTCAGTATTTTAACACCAAATTTTGACAAGTTGTTCTAATGTAATATTCCTTACTGAAAATTGTATTTCAGTGATAAAATTCAAGGTATAAGTCCCAGGACGTAGGTAATTTGCAGTTTTCTTTTAAAAACCGCTCTTACTTATCCGTCACCAGGGCCAACTTTTTCCTCTTACATTTACATCGGGAATGGGTTAAACCCTTGCTTTCTGTATGATACATTATCTTATGTCACATTATGTTATGTCACATTATCTTATGTCACATTATGTTCTGTTACATGTTTTCAGCAAAATGGAGGACAATTAATTAAATCAATTCAAAAAATTAATATTTGCTTTATGCTCACACAGAAAAAAACTTTCAATAATTCTCGTGAGGCATCAACTATCACTTCGATAAATAACAATTAACTTGAAAATCAATTTGCATCTTAATGATATGATACTATTATTTTTATTTGTCTGGCTTCAGTTTGCAAGTTTATAGAACAATATTGGCTTACCTTATAATTATTGCACTGTTGTAGATTGTCTATCGCCCTGACGACCGTCTCATTGTTATCTGCAAGAAAATACATTTTCAATATTGAATTACCCTTACCATTTGTCTGACTTTACTTCCTAAAAGAGAGCTTCATGTTATTATTTTAGAACTAACCTCTGTGCTCCTCCAGGTTACACAATGTTGAGTTTGTTTCCTGAGTATCTTGAGTAAATTGTACTCTGATAATATAAGATGTAAAATAAGAGATTAACAGATATTTACTATTATATGCATTCATTAAACTGAATCAATTAGCATTGAAATCCATGATTGCTTTGGTAATTATTGATGTCTACAACTTGTATTAACAATGAAGCAAATACAACTAAGCCTTAAACGAGTTAGAAACTCAATGATGTACATATTAATTCCATGAATGTCTTAATGGAATACAGAAAATCTTGTGCATGTTAAAGTCTGTATTTTATGAGAAATTATGAACAAGGCCTTTCAAAAGTTTATTATAGCCTGGCTTGAATGGACATTTTTTGGCCCACCCTGTTTATAGTATCAGATCATTTGAGTGACCTATTTTTAGTCGAGTTAAAATCAAAAATGTACACTCATTTTTTCTCCTTCTTGTGTTGATATTTGACAGCTAAGAGGCAATAAGACCACAGGCGGATCCAGGGGGCTCTGTCCCCCCATGGGTTGGCCTAGAAACAAATTTTGGTGCTCAAAAATTTTATAGGGCCTCAATTAGTAGGCCTTTTTGGGCATTACATGGCCTTTTTTAAAAAAATGGGCCTTAAATTTTCCATATTTTTTTCAAAATGTTTGCTCATTTGATATGTGCCCCCCTCCCTCCCCTTGTTAGTTCTGGATCCGCCAGTGAGGATGATATCATGCAAAATGTTCTAATATTAGGTCCATAGGTATTGGAACGATATGAACATGGCAGCACCAGCAGATTCTATATTATCTTTAGAGAATTATGAATAAACATCATTGATTGCCATGCCATCTTTATTTTAAAATTATTTCTATCAACCTCAGCCTATGATTGGGTCTATGGGGACTATCCAGAGTCCAGACTGACATCGCAAGCATTGAGCTCATGTTGAAAACGGGGCCTTGAGAGAAATGATAAAAAGGAAACTTTAGTAAGTGAAACTCAGTACAAATTTTAGTTCATAGTACAATGGCTATTTCGATTGCAGGGCAACAACGTTCTTCAACTATAACATATATTTTATCAAATCTCTCAAGGGAAGTACAGTGAAACATGTATATCTGAACACCTCTCTTATATGAACACCTCTCTAATGTGAACACCTCTCTTATATGAACACCTCTCTAATGTGAACACCTATCTTATATGAACACCTCTCTTATCTGAACACCTCTCCTATATCAAAACCTCTTATATGAACACCTCTCTTAAATGAACACCTCTCAATGTGAACACTTCTTCTCAGTCCCAAATTATCTCCCATTGACTCGCATATACAATAATATAATATTTAAAAGCCTTGAAATGTGAACACCTCCTAATCTAAACAGTCTCAGCCAGTCTGAGTGGTGTTTGGATTGGCCAGGTTTTACTGTATTACAATCTAGCATGGGCTGTTGATCCCACAATGCCATTTAAGTGTTATGCAGAATCATAATGATCAGACATGAATATTACTTACCTCATATAATACACCATTGTCATAACACAGCAATGTAACAGTCAAGACTATTTGAGAAACAAAGCATTCTCAACTGCTATGTCCCCAGTAAACCGAGTAGAGAGTCCAGTTGTATCTACTCCCACCAGATCTGCAAAACACAACAAATAAAGTTCTTTCAACCCACAGATTATTTTATCGCTGAAATAATATTTCAACACATGCTCTCATTATAACAATTTCAAATACTAATTTCATTATAACTACATATACTTGTGTAAATAAGCCAATGATTTTCTACCTTTTAATTGCTTCAGGACAGACACTCTAATTAATATAATTATGTAGACAGTTTATAACAATCAACGTTTAAACAATTTTAATTATCAACAAATGCAATCAAACGAGCAATCAATCAATCTGGTACATTTGTTATAATTACAGTAGTTCCGGAATATTGAATCTCCAATGAACAAAAGCATTCATCTGTTATTTTAGTTCGATTTGGATGGACTATATAAATTAAATGTATTAAATTAACTTCACTTCCTTGGATGAAAACAATTATCCATTTTGGATTTCAATGAAACACTGCTTTTGTCCCAGGTGAGAGTGACATCTATTGCAAGAATTATTGACTGAAATATCTCCCTGTCTAGTAGTGACATCTTTGTTAAAACTTAACAAATAGAAACATGAACTTAGAATCTTTCATTTGATGAAATGTTATTGGTTTATTAGAAAAGGAAAATTAAAAATTCAGTTTTGATTTTTTCACACCAGCCCTTAGCACAGGATTCCTTAGATGTGTTTTTCATTTACAAATACAAAACGGTAGGTCTTTTTATGTCTCAGTATTTTTGATTAATAAAATATTGCATGAATTCACTTCCAAAACAGTTTATTAATGTTTTAATTAACACGACAAAATAAGAGGCAAATTTATGCTAGGAGGGGGAAGGGTATGTTTAAGGATTTAAGCTCCGGACTCCAAGCATTGTGGATGATTATTATTCCTCAAAGGTGTTATTTCCACCTTTGCACAAAATGTGTATCGAGTCCTAGGTTTAGGAAACAATGTCTGAGTAGAATGAATTTGCCACAATGCATTGAGTTTGGGCATATTCTTTTCACACATTGCAAAATGTTTTATACAATATCATTTAAAAAATATGAACTGACTTAAAGGAATATATTTTCAAGGAACCTTTTTACAAAGTTGTCACCTTGATAATAATTCAACACTTATCATTTGACCTGCATTAGCATCTATACTACTGTATTTATAAATTATTACTTAACTATGAAATTGATCAGCTTATTAGATTTATTAGTTTCATTAGAATGTAAAAATGACCTTGGGTGTATTAGAGTAGAATATTGCAATGCAGTTATATGAAATAACATGTTCTGATTGGCTGGAATTGGACACACCTTGCCTAGCTACGTGTGACAGTGTGAATTATATATCTTACTACATTTGGATTTGATTTCTACAGAATTGTCATTAAAAGAAAATCTGAAAAAATATTTCTGTAAAATTTTGGTAATACAGTTACCTCAACTGCCTGAAAACTCGCTTCACAAAATAAAACATGTCCTTAATATCCAAAAGAGCGTGTCTAATTATTTTATATAGCATACATTTACACAGATTTTGCACTGCGATCAGAATCAGTTCACAGAATCAAGAAACACATGAGTCCCGGGACATGAGTATTTGGAGTACCCACCCACCTTATGCATTCACAAACTTCCACTGTGAAAGAGAAAGGAGCAAGTCCACATTATGGCTGGACACTACTGAGAGGACACGAACATTCAACAGTAACCTAGGGATAAACCAGTTAAGTCAAGTGAGGCGCATCCTTGGTCCAAGAGTATTTCTCTACTTACCATATTGAGTAATAAATGAAGTCCTTTGAATGAAGGATGAGTGAGACGATACGTAACTTTACAGTGATCTCCCCAGGATTTTTTCTACAGTGGGTGCAAAATTCTCATTTTCTGAATTCAGAAAAAAATGGTTCAAATATGCCAACTTTTCATGATTTTTCTCATTTTCAAGTGGGTGCTAATGGATTTTCAGGTGGGTGCAAGGGTGTTTTCAAAATCTCAGGTGGGTGGTGCGCCGACTTGCTTTAATGCTGGGGAGACCAAGGGCGAACGTAATACCCGGAACGTTCCTCGTTTGCAATTTCAATATATTCGGCGTTCGGCCTTTAAGCGTATACTGTTCTATCAACCAATTAAAATGGGGTGCGATAACTTGAATTTGATTCTGACGATGTGCGTTACCCCCCTTTGGACATGAAGTCCAGAGCTGAATATGCCAGCTCATGTTGGTGATTGGTAAGTAAAATCGATCCATCCTTATAACTTAACTTATTTCATATGGTTTAGTGGATTTTGGTCACGAAACATTGAGAAACAACAGTTAAAACAAAGATTGTCCGAGTCTGTTTTGATTGTTCTGTTCTGACGAGAAACCAACAGGGTCTTCTCATTTGCATAATCAGGTCACCTTATACCTAGCTATAGAGCTGGGTAAGGGGGTAACACTGACTGACAGAAAACACAATCGCCACTTCAAGTACATTTCCCTGTTATTCTGTTCGTTTAACCCTTATTTACATATCATATATTAGAGTTAATCAATTATGAAGCGAATGATGTGAACGGATTGCATTGCCATAGAGTAAAATAACCGCAAAACGGTACAGAAAAAGGTACCTAAGTCTGAGAAAACTGACCCCTCTATACTCTATTGTGTAATGCAGATCATATAAAGCCCCGGATTTCGTGTCATTTCGTTTGGTACACAACTTAAGCCCGGGTATTAAATAAGCCCTTGGGGAGACCACTGCTTTACACTTAGAAAGATTTCTAGCGACAGGTATCATAAGAGTAGAATTATGTATAAAAACATGGCCATGACAAAAAAGTGTGTCATGACAACTCTAGGACGTAGAAAGACAAAACTCTGACGCAATCACATTTAATCTAGAGGGTAACAAAGAAGTTAGGATTAAAGTAATATATCATGATATCATATCAATATTAAGTCAGAGATATTTTCTAGAATAACATTAGGCATACGGGCAATTGGCCAACATGGGATATTGTGAAATGACATGAGAGAAGATGTGCATAATTCAGGTAACCATAAGAGAAGGCGTATATATGTGTGGATCAATAAATATGTGGTTTCACTTATACCTGACTAATGACTACAACAAAGCAACCTGTACTTGAGTCACCTGTCAAACTGATTCAATAATTGTTTACTTCCGGTTTCAGAGCACCTGTCAGAATTTTACTGAAAACATCCGCGGTATCTCCGTACTTGGTGGATTTCAACATAACAACAAGACATTATTTTATAGATTTTTATATTAGGGATAGTCTGGATACACACTGAAAAGGATACCTATACCAATAGAGGCACACTTACCATAAATACGACTGATTTTGCCTTACGAGGGAGCAGACATTTTACGCTGTTGCATTGTGGGTGTTTTTTAAATTGATCACGTGACTTCTTTGTGTGGCAGTCGCCGCATGTAATCAGGTCAGAAAACTTCTCGGATTTATTCTCTCAAACTCCATCTAAAACTTATTCAAGGATCTCAAAACTTCGCATGTCAAAGGAACAGAATATACACCACACATTGGCCGGGTTTGGAGTATGTGCGAATGCTAGTTGGCGAGAAATCAGAAGTTAAAGTGGCAGCACTTTTGTGTTCGAGGACGGAGGAATAATGGCGGTGGTGGGCCAAAGACACACCCGACAAATGATGGCTTTCCACGGTAATGGTGTCTCTCAGCATGCTATTCTGGCTGCAGCTACAACTGTTCCATATTATACTCCAGTTGTACCTACACAAGAAGTCCAGCCAGATCGACCCATCGGGTATGGAGCGTTTGGAGTTGTATGGTGAGCAAAAATTTGCAGATTCCTTTCATTTTCTCCATCACTTTATGTTGAGCATCCTGGTCAAAAGGTCAACCTAAATGATGATTTGAAGTGGGATTCCATTCTTGGGTATCATATATACATACCTAACCCCCTATGGCATTCATATTTGTTCCAGGGGAGGAGATAACAGGAATATAAAAATAGTTTGAACAAAAGGCTTTGTTTGGATCCCATTTTACAGCTGATTATGCCCAGTCCAAACAAGGTCAAAAGAAAAAGTAATTTTGCCCATAATTTCTCCACAATTCTCTCCATATTGTCTATTCATCTACCTCAATACATTTACACTCAATTGACATGTTCTTGATTTACATCATATTTTTTATTATTCACCGTTTATGAAATTGTAAAAACAGGATCTTTCATTGATATTTATGTCAGCATTAAGATCTTTGTTCCGTCTGCTATATCGACTCCTATAGAGCCAGTACGCTATACGGAGCCAATAAGTACACAATATGGGAAAGTCAAGCAGGGATTTAAAGTATTTATACGTAAAGTTGGCTAATATATTGTATGATTTGTCCCAAATAATGCTTACTTTATAAAATATGATTACTCAGCCAGACGTGGAGTTAAGACTCATGCTTTTGGAATCAGAGATAAATGACTGTAATTCAGGCTTGGTGAAGGTATTGACTCACATCTCCTGAACAAAGAAAATGTACTAAGTTCGAGATAACCATAATTATAGACTAGATAGACAACAGCAGTAATCCCGGTGTGTGGAGATTAGATTAGAGAAAGGAATAATACAGCATATGACAAATAAATTATTCATATACTTTACTAGATACGATAGCCCATGATTCACTTGGGAAAATCTTTGTATCAAACAAGTAATTTGAAATTGTTAATAAAAATGATCAAACTGTCAGACTAACAGCTGACTCAGATTAATATTGAATTAAAGGGTAAAGTTTATAACATATTTCAAATAGTTTTAAAGTATTTTTCACACCTTGATGAATGTTTGTGGTAAGTTCAAAAGAACTGTTGGAATACAGACAGATTGCAAAGATTGTAACTTGGACACATTTGAAATTATTTCAAATTTAAACTAAATTGATTTTAACTGTTTTAACTGAAATTGCAATGAAGCCTTTAAATATGATATGTCTCTATTGAGAAAATTCCGAATATAACATGATCTATTTAAAATACAAGCCATGTATTTTTGTGAGTTCTGACTAACGAACCATACATCTAGTGAATTAGGCCCTGAAACACTTTTAGTGCTTGCTGCAGTACATGCAACACAAATTTCCTTTTAGCTCAAGGTTCTATGTCAGCTTAGCTATTTCCACCACCAGTGGTATGAACATTGCAGTATCTGAAAGTGATCATCTTTTATTATGGTTTCAACAATGATCATGGGAAAAGGGTTGAGACTAGTTGATCTTTACAAATGTTACACATGTTCATATAAATATTATTAAGTCTCAAAAAATGATTTATTTACTTGACATTTTTTATCTGCCATTCCTTCCAGGATAAGCTGAAGTTAAATGTCAAAAATGAAATATTTCATCTTTTATTTCTGATGAAAAGAAAAAGATTCATATATTTAATCAAGAACAAAGATATTCAAAATTCTAGTTCATGTCCTGAATGGGGTTGCTTATTTCGGTGTTTAAACATGAAGGACTGACCTAGTATTTTTCAATCAGGTCTGTCTCGTTATCTTTTTTTGAACATAAAACAAGGTTATTTTTCTTTCTCTTTATTTCCCATTTAACTTAAAGTACAAATCTTCTAGATAATAATCTGTGAACGATTCTATGTAGTTATTTATTTTTCAAGGTTGTTCATTTGAAAAATGTATTTTTGTTACAAGGAAGGTACATTTAGTGATAGAAAAATCTGCTCCCTGCATGCAAATAAAACAGTAAAGGGGGTTGTCCTCATAAATATAATACAAGACCTTAAATATATGAGGCTTCCAGGGTCACTATACAGGTAAATATATAGACCTACATTAACACCTGACTTGTGAACACCTGTAATGAACACCTTTTTATGAGTAAACACCTTTGTATGAACACTTCATATAAACATGTGAGGAAAACACCTTACAAAATCTAATTTGAACCCTCATCTTTTCTGAAAAATTAATCTCAAAAACATTGTTTAATAAATGTATTAGAGCCATTAAGTTCTTACGCGTGCCACTGTAAATCAATATACTGATACCTGATAGAACAAGTAAAATCGGGTAATGTTCTTGACTTCAATTTTTGAGTATTAGTAAATAGATTTAACCTTGATTGACCTATGCCAATCATGAATAGAAAATACAATTCCATTGATGTTTATTTAAACTAATATTTTTGTAAGTGTGACTAATAAAAGAGATGAGTTGGTTATTGATATAGGAAGTGAAATTTGAACTGTCTTAATGTTGCCTTCCTTGTTTTAATAACTTCCGATTTGGTTTTCATATATTTTAACAGCGCATTTGCGATGTTCATATAGAGCAGGATTTCAATCTGTGTTGCCATTAACAGAGATTTGAAAGTTTGTGTCAATTCATCATAGTTTTCAATAATTTTAATTAAAAATCATTTTCAATAAATTGTAGAAAATATTTTAACCATACTTGTTAACCATGTTTCATTTCCTGTGAATTTGTAAACCATTATCTGAAAATGTATATTCATTTATGAGAGTTTATTTCTGTCCAGGCAGTAAGCATGTTTATTCTAATTTTTTTTAATTCCAAATGGTTCATCATTTCCTGACCCTTTTGTTATAGTCCGGTGTCATATAATATAAGTGTCAGATAAAAGAATCCATTAATGTCATGTAAAAGGTTGCCATTTTGTGACACATATCCTGCCTTCACAGCCTTACCTATTCTTGAAATATAATTTATTGCAAATTATTTTCTTTTTGGCTTTATGATGACATTGACTGATAGCTTCCCCCCTTAACTTATCCTTTAGGATAAAACCCATATTCAATCCTTCCAGCAAATGAAACCAGTTGCCATATTTTTTATTGCCATAAGTAAAGGGAAGATAATTCATTTCAACCTCAAAATATATCTCTATTTTAGGTTTCCTATCCTGGGTTATATATTGAGTAGTTACTAAAGTGAGAAGACCTTCAGTTGAAGGTTAAAGATAACAAGAAACTCAAAATTGCTTTTTTATTGACTGATACTTACAAGTATATTTTATGATTATGTTTGTACTGAATTACCTTAGATGGCAATGTTATTGTTCTAAATGACCTGTTAGAGAAAATGACGTTGGTATTAATTATAAGGAAAGTTGATAAGTATATTAGGTATTTACGTCATATTAAGCATGTGTAACACTGGCATGTCCTTGGGGTATTTATTGATGAATTTGTTCCTTGGGTTATTGAACATGTAAATGTCATATTATGATGTCGTCCAGTACTGCAAGGACTCTGAGTTCAGAAGATTAGAAGTCATACTATACTTTAAAGGTATTTGAATATCAACCTTTAACATGCTGACTTATTTTGGCCATTCTATCTAGTACTGTAAAGACCCCGAAAGAGTATGTTTCACTGTATAGTCAGTCTTTAATCAAGTCTCAAGAAAACCTGGCTGGCTTGTCAAGGATAATGAGACATTTCTTGAGAATCCTTTAGGATTTCTGACACAGGCAAATTAATGATAAAAACAAGGGCTTAATTGTTAGAAATTATAATTTTAACGTGGGAACAGTTTCAAAATTTCTTTAAAAATAGTTTTGGTTAAAACAGTTGAATGAAATATCATGCCACTAATAAAAAAATAGCGTTGTTTAAGATTGACTATTGTAATTTTGTAAATCTACGCAATGTTTATAATCATAGTGAAAATAATAGATGACGATTGAAAGTGAATGTCCTGTTTATGGCCTTATTGTAAGCAAACAAGCTAATGAAATGTTGTTGACTAGCTATTAAGAGTACGTAATTGCGTAATTTGTGATGTAAAACCTGACAAGTGAATCACCAGCTGTAAGTTGAACACCTTTGCAAAGTAGAACACCTATAATGTATGTGAAACACTTCACGGTCCCATTGACTTCATGTTAACTCAGCCTCTCAAACTAGAACATCTCTTTAGGGAAACACTAGTTAAACCAGTCATGTTTTACTTACACACATTTTGTTTTAGCTTATTATTGACTTCTCCAGAGGTCGACTGTTCATATTATATCTTGACTATGTGATTTGAATAAGAGGTTTATTATTTATGTGAAGTTCATATTCTGTGACATTTCCCCCCCCCCCACCTGGAATTTTTACACTTCTGACATCATATATATGAGAAAATGGCCTCAGCTCCATATCTAAACGAACTATATTTATAACATACTTTTTAAAGGTCATATCAGTATCTCACATGTTTTCCAGACAAACTTATATCATATTAAACTTTGTGTTTGTATTTAACACATTTATGATGCAATAACCATGGCAACATATCACCAAGGTCTCATCCTTTAGGTCATTTCAGCCCCAGACAGGTCATGGGGTCAGCACTCTCACAATTGCTGCTAATAGGTACAAGCCCCATTAAGATTTAATTAGGATGTTTATTGAGATTTTATAGGTTCTTTTATGAATGGTTAATGACTATTGGTTGATTAAGATGACCATATTCCCTTGCTACACAATGTCAGGATTTTTCTCAGTAGTGCTAAAAAAGGTGAGATTTTTGGGGAGTAAAAATTTGCTGATCTTATTTATGAAGAACAAAGAAGTTAATGACTTTTCATCTGCTGTTTTATGAATTCCATGTAAAGATGTGATGTATCATTGTAAAGGTCAAGATGCTGAGATATCAGGGAGATCTTAAAACAGTAGGAGGTGTCTGTCTGGGGTTAGAATCTGAACTGTTTAACAAGGAGCTGTCTATGCATGTTAATAGATGTTATACATGTTAATTGATGTTCTCGGAAAGCTCCACAGGATTGAAATAACTAATATTAATC